GTGTGTGTGTGTGTGTGTGTGTGTGTGTGTGTGTGTGTGTGTGTGTGTGTGTGTGTACATATTCCCAAATACAACCTGTTGAGTTCATACAATGTTACTTGTCTGTATGTTCTTAGGGCTGGCCGAATGGCTCTGGATGACCAATGGACATGCTCGTCTCTGAGGAAGACCACCTATCCACTCCTACTCCCATCTTTGCTCAGTTGCCTGGATATCTCTCAGATCACTACATTTTACTGAAGGTGTGTTGACTAATGCTGAGTGTTCCCTCCATGTTCCTTTTGTTTGTTACTATGGGAGCTGGCATCTACTGGACAGAAACCAAAATAGTCCACTAAACACAATACAAGGAAATCAAAAGCTCTTACCAACATTGAATTATCCCACTCTGCCAATATTACTGAAGTTGAGACATCCTATGTTAACCTTTGTAAATAACAAATAAAAATGCATTAACCCTCCCCAAAAAATCCCTGAGAGTCTGTCCTCAGAATGTTTCACAAATGATTTCTGTTCTTGCTCCAATTTGAATCAATATAACTGGAAGTCATGAGCACTCCACACAGATCAAAACAACCCTCCAGTCCCAGAGAAATCCAAATGCTGAAGCTCAGATATATTCAGATAAATATCATGTTAAATCCAAGTTGTGAAAACTGTCAAAACAAGAACTTGAATTCCTGCAGACCAGACCCATATTTATTTTGAAATAAGGACATTCTCCAAGAAAATGAAGAAATAATTGTTTCTTATGAAAACAACAATATATAAGCCAGAAGGATGGCTCAGATGGAAAAGGTACTTGTCAGCAAGCCTGAAGATTCAGGATGAGTCCCCTGGACTCATGTGATAGAAGAGAATCAACTCCTGCAAGCTGCCCTCTGACTTCCACACATTCAGCTACTGTGCATACACACAGCACACAGACACAAATAAACAAAGTGATGAGCAGTATACATGTATGTCAGGCATGGTGATGCACTCAGGAGGCAGAGGCAGGACAATCACCACAAGTCTGAGATCGGGATAGTCCACGTAGAAGATTCCAAGTCAGACAGGGCTACATCGTAGGATCCCACCTCAAAAGGAAAAAAGAAAAGAAACCACTATTATAGCTAAAAGAATGAAGATTAAGAAACAATTAGATGCTTTGTAAATAAATCACATGGTCACTAGAATTAAAAAAATGTTACACAGACAGAAGAATTCAAACTGTACAGGAGCGCATTGTGTACTGAAAGAACATTGAGGATCACTAGGGACAGAACACAGAATGACAGAGAGAGAAAATTACGTGTGTGTGTGTGTGTGTGTGTGTGTGTGTGTGTGTGTGTTTTTATATGTGTGTATATGTATGCACATGTAATATATATAAAATAAGAAAGTATCTCCCATGTGCCAAGCAAGAGGTTTGCTTGGGTGGCAATGCTGTGTAAGTCGATTGGGTATTAAATGACTATTTAAAAGTGATGCCACCACTTCTAAGCTATGAATTGTATTACAAATAATCCCTGACATCTGATTTTGAGCTTAGAATTTCAACCTTTCCCCAGGTTATTGAATGTGATTCAATTCTTTCTTAAGATAGGGGGTGGCAGCAGTGAGTTATAGCTCCCTGTCAATTAGGGGATAACCAAGAAGACAGTCATTGCTCTGTAACATACTGCATGGCTTGGAGATGATGAGCAACTATTTGCTTATCTATCTATCTATCTATCTATCTATCTATCTATCTATCTATCTATTCCCAGGCAGAATCTCACTATGTAGCCCAGGCTAGAATAAAACTCCTGATACCTCCTAAATCAGCCTTGAGTACTGGGATTACAGGCCTGTGCTAGCACAAATGGCTCTGTCTTAAGATGTTTGCTGTTTATGATGGGTATTGAGAAGTTGTCACCTTGCATGCCTAGAAGCATCTGGAGTTTAGTGTCTTGCTTATACACTAATTATGCTCTGTCTTGTCCAGTCTTCCATTTGTTTTGCAGGTGTTTGTCTTGGCTCCCCACCAGGCTGCAAGCACCTTAAAAACAGGCTGTGTTTGTTGCATTTTTGTTTATATATCAACTGCAGGGCAAAAAATACTCACCAACAGATTGAAAACCCACACCCAGTTTTGAGGAAACCTAATCTTTGTCTACGCTTGCCAGTGTTTTCCAGTAAAGAATTGTCCTGCATCAATATCAAAAGAGTCAAGAGAAAGGCTTGCAAAAGGCTCAGAACACAGAAAGGACAGAGAGCAGAGAAGTCCCATTCCTGGGTGGTCTTGGAGAACACAAGGCTCTTCTGAGGACTGCAGGCTGGGCTAGGCAGCTCCATAGATTGACAAATGGTGTCAAATTCCAGAGCACTTGTGAGCCTCCCAGACCAGTAGGGAGAAAGAGACCCTTTGGAAATGATGCAACCAGAAACACATTATTTTCTGCCTCATGCATTCTGGAAAGTGCCTCTCTCTGCCAGACTCCACAGACCTGACTGAGACCCATGGTTCTCAGCCACTGCTTTATCTCCTGTGGAAAATTCTCAAGCTGGTTCCTTTGCAGACACTGGGATAACCAGTAGATGAGTGTCATTCTACTCATTAAACATAACAGCAGGGCAGACACAAAGGTTAAGGACAAAATTAGAAACCTTTCCATAAGTCTTGTCCAAGACACTCAAGTTCATCCCAAGAATGTACAGTAACAATAATCAATTGCCCTTTGTGGAGCAATATTCTAGGTGCTTATTTTCAAAACAGGGGGATGGGAATATGAGGGACTGAGAAGGCTGAGTTGGGAGAGGAACAGGGAAGACAGCAATGAAAGCCATATCTTGATAGACAATGGGGTTAGGGAGAAAACTGGTGCTAGAGAAATTCCCAGGAATCCACAAAGATGGCCCCAGCTAAAACGCCTACCAATACTGGCCTAATCAGGTTAGTAACTACCCTGTCATCATAGAACCTTCAGTAAGTGATGGAAGCAGATGCAGTGACCCACAGCCAAGCACTGGGCTGAACTCCTGGAATTCAGTTGAAAAGAAGGAGGAAGAATCATATGAATAAGGGGGCGTCAAGAACATGATGGGGAAAAACATGGGGACAACTGACCTAAGCTAGTGGGAGCTCACAGACTATGGACTGACACCTGGGGGAACTGCATGGGACCAAACTAGGCCCTCTGAATGTGGGTGAGAGTTATGTGGTTTGATCTGTTGTGGGGGCTCACAGTGGGACCAGGACCTATCCTGGGTGCATGAACTGGCTTTTTGGAGCACATTCCCTATGGTGGGATACCTTACCCAGCCTTACATGGGGGAGGGCATGGTCCAGCCTCAATGTGGTATGCCAGACTTAATTGACTCCCCAAGGAACTCCACTACTCCCTCTGAGTAGTGCATTACAGGGGTGAGAAAGGGGGGAGGCAAGGGGAGGGAAAAGGGAAGGAGGGAGAACTGGGTTTAGTATGTAAATGTAAAAATAATTTAATAAAAAAACTGTAGAAAAAAAACCCAGAGATCAGCTCTCTATGCCTGTTTATGTAAAATATCTGTCTTGGAAAACACCCATACAGACTAGTTCATGTGGTATCTGTGCTACTTTCTTACCACACAAGCAGGGTTGAGAGACGTAACAGTACACAGCCCTTAACACTTAAATATTTAGATTTAGTCTCTGGTCCTTTAAAGAAAAAAATTGGCAAGCTTTGTAGTAAATAAAAGCTCCATGGGTTGTGTATGATGTACCTAAATATATCAGTGTTGTCAGCATCAGGAATAAATGCAGTTATTAAAAACAATTACTGCTCCTTATTGAGTATTTACTTAGTCATCAACATTTTGAGGAGATATTGCTACTCCCATCATTCAGAAAAGAAGACTAAAGCCAAACTTAAGTTCCACCCAAGGTCATGCAGTTTACCAGGGAAGGATTTGGGATTTGTATCCAAGCACTCCCTCTGACGCCCATGCCAGGTGGTATCCCGAACAACACTGTATCTGTCAGATGGTTCACCGTCTGTGGGCAGAGACAACCTACAGATGGATACCAATGACTGGAGACACAGAGAGCCAAAAGTCAAAGAAACAAAAATTGCCTTCATGATGAAGTTTCCATCAGGCTATTCAATACTAAAGATGGGGTCATTCTGAGGTCCTAATGAATGTCCTCCTCAGTGGCCATATCTCTCATTTCCATCTCCATGTCATCTATCATCCCAGAACATCATGCAATCTTCACAATGGCCTCAGAACATTCATGTTGAGTGCATAAAAGGAGGCCCCTCCATTCTCCTGACTTTATAGTGTGGTTCCAGGCCTCAGTGAGTCCATCTGACACTTGTTCAGTGAACAGGTCAAGACCTGTCCAGCATGAGTCTGCAGAGAGAAGGCCTTCTGCTGAATCAGGCTGGAGGAGGGCAACGAGCGGGAGTGAAGCTCCTTCCTTACATCCCCAGCTGCAAACTTGCCTGAATCCTCAGTGGTGCAGTCCTGTGGTTAAAGGTCCTTCTGCAACTGCAGTTACCCTCTGCATATATGTATCTTGGAGTCTAAGCTCAGATGTCACAGCAGGAATTTTAGAATGCATCCTAACCTTACCCAGCAGTTCCAGGTGGCAACTCTGTACCCAGCTCAATCCTGTCTCCCTCTGTTCCCTGTGATGGCCAGTGCCTTTGAAATGGGATTCTTCCAACTCATTGGACAGCCCTTTTCATCCAGCTCTGGTCCTGAGACATGGCAAACAGCATATGAACACTCACTGAAGAGAGTGATCTAAAGCTCTCTGTTCAGTCAGAGCCTTTCACAGACAGAAGCTGTCCCCAGGTATAACCCCCTTACATATTCCAGTTCTTTATTTCTAAAACCAAAGTCATGTTTGGTCTATGGGAAGCTTCACTGACTCTGGACCAAGGGTCCCTAATGGATTCTGAGACCGGTTTAACTCCACCTTCTCAATGGCCCTCTACTTCACAGGACCACCACCAGCCCTGTCCTGGTTGCCCATGTGCCCCAGGATTTACCTTCACTGCCACGAGCATCTTGTCTTTGGTGGGGCTTAGATTGTAACACTCAGCCAGGAAGACCTTTCCAAAGGCTCCCTCACCCAGTTCTCTCTTCAACACGATGTCTCTCCTCTTGATGTGCTGGACATCTGTAGAAGCATCACAAAGGGGACAGTCAGGTTCTGTCATCCATCAGGACAGCACGAATCTAGGGTGCTTCTGAGTCCACAATGGGAAGAGCCAAATGTTCCCATGCTAGTTTGGCCATGGAGATGGTCATTTATTTATGGGTGAAGTCTGTGCCAGACTGGCTGCTGACTACTCTCACCTTTCTGAGATGAAGACCCGAGCTGAGGGTAGTTTGCAATCTGGTGAGGGCATGAGTCAGTGATGTGACTGAATATAGACTGCTTCCATCTCCTGTGATGCTGCACATGAACTGGCACACCTTGGCAAAATGCAGGTTCTGATTCAGTGGGCCTGAGAATCTGCATCCCTAGCAAGTCCCCAAGTGATGCCAATAAGCTGTTGGCAGCACTTTAAACACCATGGTTGCCAAGGTTGTACTGAGAATCAGATCTGAATCCTGGCTCCATGCCATTACTGCTTTATTATTATTTGTTTTTTCAGTTTGGGAAAGTTATTTAATCTCAGCACCTCAATTTCCTCATTTGTAAAATGGGGTTACAAACAATACCTCCCTCACTGTATCCTTGTGAGTAAATGAGATGATCCATTTTAAGAGGTTGGCTCAGTGCCTTGGAGAAACTTAGAAACATGTGCTCAACACACACACACACACACACACACACACACACACACACACACACACACACGTAAACACACAGTGCCTTTGCCTGATAATTGGTGTTTCCTTCATGGGGATGTTTTGATTGACTATCATTCTTCTCGAACACCCCTCCATCACAAGCACACCCACACATACAATCACACATACACATAGCCACATGTACACACAGGTACATGCACATATTCACATACACATGCACACTCATGCACACATATGTGCACATACATCCATATACACACATACACATAGATACACACGTATACATACACAAATTTAAACATACCATATACACACATATACATACATATGCACACACACACATACACACACACACACACACACACACACACACACAGAGAGAGAGAGACCAATAGCACCTTGTTCAGGATAGAAAACACTCATGGGGTGCTAAAATTATTTCAGGAAAATCTCTAGTTGGCCCCAGTACTGCTCCTCTGAGAGAAAGCAAACCAATGAGCTCACAAATGGCAAGTTCAAAGATAGTCTTAGAACTGGGGTCTGTGCAAAGAGAAGAGTCGCCAGTGCCTCTGCTAATTTAGCAACCTAATTAAAGTGTGTCTGCCAGGAGAGAGCAGAGCTGTGACCTCAGCCCTCCCACCTCTTTGGAAAAAATGCTACTAAGGAATTGTCCAAGCGGGGGACCGGTGATGAAAAGGAGTGAGGTGGAGATTACTCACCGACCTTTACATGAATTGTTCAATAGGCAAAGCCCATTAAATACCTGTATCAACATTATGAAGCATGTCGCCGAGCCAGCAAAGAAGATCCTCTCAAATGACCTTGTCGAACAGTGAAAACTGAAGGTGGAAGAACCGTGGCAGACTGTCCCCACATGAGGAGCCATGTGTGATAGTGACAGAGGGGCATGGCTCGAAAGCTGGACCTACTGGCTTAGAATGTTTGTACTGCCTTTTCCTATTAGAATTCAATATCCCACAGGGTCTAGAGTGAGCTACCCCTATTTCTTTCTCCCTTACAGGCAGTCTTAAATGACAGGTGGATAAAAAACAGTTTCCTGGGCTGGAGAGATGGCTCAGCTACTGGGGTCTCTCCCTTGCTCTACATCCCTGTCTCCATCTTGTAGTCTCTGAAGAATGGCATATTTTTTGGCCTTGGGTGATAAGACTAAAAGGTATCACTGGGAGAAAATGAGAAGCAGGGGTGTATTCCTGTGGGGAAAGCCATCTTCTCACCACTGCCTACTCATTCCCAGGTGGCTAGTGATGACACATAGAGCCCTGCAAGCTGAGTGACCTGCCAAGGCCAGGGAGTGAGATGTGGCCTGGTAAGACAGCTTTCCAGCCAGGGGCCAGGCCTCACGTTCCTCATCTGTAAAATGGGTATATTCCCACAGCTGGATGTAGAAGTCTATAAACATTTGTATTGTGGAACTCTATCTTTTGTGAACCACATGTCTATTGCGATCTTGAAATCACAGTGACTGTGACTCACAACATCAGCCTATTAGGTTAGGGAGATATCTCAGTGAATAAGGCATGTGCTGTGCAAGGACAAGGACTTGAGTTGGGATCCCCAGCCCAGGCCAGTTTCAGTAGCTGTGTATGTAATCTTAAGTTCCTGTGATGAGACTGGAGGGAGAGTGTATACCTATAAGCTTGTGGGCAAATCATCTAAGTATAAATAGGAACAAAGCAGGAGGCCTGTTCTCAAACAAAGAAGGCAAGGACCTATAATACAAAACCTGTCCTCTGCCCTGTACACACACAGGTGGCATGAGCAGGCACCCATATGAGAGAGAGAGAGAGAGAGAGAGAGAGAGAGAGAGAGAGAGAGAGAGAGAGAGAGAGAGAGAGCAGTCTAATTATTACGACCTTATAGAGGGTCGGAGATATTATCAGACTCACCTGAGATTTCAGCCCTTCTGTCCTCCATGCTCTCACTCTAGATACATGTAATCCTTCCAGGTACACATTCTCTTAGAAGGTGCTAACATGTATAGTTGAGGTAGGAGTTTTGGGTGATACAGACGGTTTTGAGTCATTCACATTCCTGTAACTCTGACGTTTGTTTATTTGCCAACCCAGCCTAGGTCTGTTACGGGTATCCTACCCTAGGTGAATAGATGTCTGTTGGTCCACCTCTCCCCAGGAATGTAATGCAATAAACGTATTCCAAATTGTAAATATGGTAAAATACCATTTTCATCATGGCTGGTATAATTTTAAAAGAAGGTGAAATGAAAGCCTAACCACGTCTCCCCCAGCTGCTGAGATCAGCATGACATCCAGAATGCAAAGATACGCCAGAGTAGCCAGTCACTTGATGAAAAGCCGAGTTTGCAGTCAGATCCTTTTCCCAAGCTCCTTCTCAGTTACCAATGTGCAGTCCCTCAAAATCAACCAGAGAGTTTTTAAGAATGCATCACTGGGTGCCTACCCCAGAGATTACCACCTGGTGTATCCATCTCGAGGTTTGAGGATATGTATCTCTGTGTTCCCAGATGATGTTGACATTGCTGATCCAGGAGGCATGCTTTGAGGACCACTGGAACACAATGTGTTTTGTGCAGTGAGGGGTTAGCTAACTGAGAGAGCAGCTGTCTGCACAGGCTGGACTTGACAAGCATCATGCCTCCCAACAGGTAAATCACACCTCATCTCCAGAAGACCAGGAGGAGGCCATGGATCCTGGATTAACTTCCACACCCCTCTTGCCCTTGCAGGCTAGATGGCTTAGGCTGAGTCAACTGTTTGAAGAGACTGAGACACCTATCTATGCTCTGGAGACCAAGCCTCTTTGGCTTTCTTATGTTTTAGAAAGGCAAAGCAACAGGGTAAATTTTCTCTGGTCCCTAAATCCAGCTGTGAGCTAACTCTCCTCAGAACTACCCACTCTCAGCAATAGTAGATTCAAAAGGAGAGCTGGGGAGTTTTAGAAAGAGCTGGACACCCCTTTTCAGCTGCTAAGCCTGGGTCATGTCTGAAAGTCCTTCTTTCCCTCCTCCCTTCCTAGGCAGTAGGGCTTTGAAAGATTCAGAAGCACAGGAATAGCTTTCCACCCTTGTGTTGAGAGCCTGGGGTCTTTTGCAGACTTCCTGTTGGTGATGGTGTGAGCATGGCAGCTGTGGGCTTTGAATCAGGCAGGGGCCAGGTGAGCATATTGCAAGAAAATCACTCTCCTACTCTCCATGGGAATATGGACAAGGTAGGCTAGAGCCTAGCATGGGCCAACGTGTTTTGTGTTTTTCTTAAACATGAAAATGAATCATTTTAGGGACAAGGAAATGCCCAATGGCTCAAAATAGCCTCCTTGTTTCATCCTCTTGTCTTCACAGTGAAGGGAGTTTAAGATCAATATGTGTTCATCCCTGGTCAAGTGGTAAGAGCTAAGAAGCGGGGAAGGAGCCAGAAATAAAAGTAGATTTCATTCCACCTCAAATCCTTCTCCAATAAGGAATGAATTCTTAGTGATGGGGACAAGAAGCCCCACAAAGTGAATGAGAAACTTTGGCAGAGAAACACTGAATAGAAGCCAAATGCATGGCATAAATCCCTTCCATGTGGCTTCTCCCATGTACCAAGGAGGCTGGACTCCAAAATGCAATCTCAGCTGTTCTTTTCCTGAACTCATATATAAAGAAGTAAAGCAAAGGGAATGTGTACATGGCCAGTCCTTCAAGGTGTTCAGTATTCATTCTCAAAAGGACCTCAGAATCACTGCACTCCTTTCACAGATAAAATGAAGGTTCATGATTCAGAGACAAACCATGGCCAAGAAAAGCTTTTCCTTGTAGGGATTCCTCAGCCTCTGATCTTTCCTCTCCATCCTTTCCTTACCTGGGCCTTAGTCTATAGCCACCAAAATGGTTCTGTCCAAATATTAACCCTCCACTACCCACCTTATTCTCCCACACTGCTCATCCTGAGACCCTTTTACAACATTGCCCTAGTGGCAGAAGCAGGAGCCTCCCACTGGTCACCATTCAGAACCCCCCAACCTCTGAGAAGTGTATAGATGGGGAAGAGTATGGAATTGGGTGGTCCCAAGGACTGGCTGGAGTGAACTGATTCATTTCTGATATCCACATGTCTATTTGGGCCCCTTCTCTGCTTATTTTTCGTTCCCATCAGCATGTGGCTAGCGAAGCCATCTGACCCATGATGGCTTCTCATGAAGCTCAGGCTTTGGAATGCAGGAAGTGGGGAAGAGAAAAGGGAAATGCATAGATGGGATGTGGGGAAATGTCCTATTTCCATTAACGAAATGGATGATGAGGAAGTAGGGGCTGGTATATAAGGAAGAGGGGTCTCAGGAACTTGAAAAGGTTACAAGGACCTTCTGCCAAGGTTCATCTCA